ACATGGGTGGGTGTGGGTATGGGTACCCAATGCAAGGCTTTGAATTAAAGAAAGAAAAGAGATTGTTGGAGGCCAAAACACGTGATTTAATTCTATTAGGTCTATGGAGGAAATTGTTGACAATGAGGTAGATTTTCAATACCATAGTTCAAATTTTTATTTCAATGTTTGTCTAAAGATTTATGGGGTCATATAAGAAACTTTTCACCGATTGATTTTTAATGTCACATAATATCTTATTTTGGTTATTTTAACTTAAAAAAAATCAAGTTTTCACATGTTAATTTTATTCACACAAATTATTGAATATTTTATGTTGAATATGGCATCGGCTATAGTTTTTTAAAATTTTTAAAATGATGTTTTAAATGTTCCTTATAAATAGTTTTGAAGTGCCAAATGTAAAGTGTGTATGCAAATTATACATGCATTATCTCCTGACGTACTACTGTACATGTAACAAGTTATGCATGTTCATGTTAAATGTTGCAATTATATGTTAATTATACAAGTTTTGCATATGAATATCATGTCATGTAGGAAGTTTTGATATGGGAAAAAGTGCACTATAAATAATATTGAGGATGAAGCAATTAGGTTCAAGTTTAATTCTTCCATTAGATCCTGCAGCATAACATACAATATGAGCCATTATATGATAGGAACTGCAAGACATCTTCTTATTGGATGGAGATGGATGAGAGGAGATTGATGGGTCCTTAGTGGATGATGCCTTTAAGAAGATTAGAGTAATTAAGGATAGATTAAGAGCAACATAAGATAGAAAACAAAAGTTATGATGTAAATCATTAGATAGTTAAGTTTCAGGTGGGTGATTTTGTATTTTTTAAAGTCAATCCTATAAAAGATGTAAGTAGGTTTGGTAAAAAAAATATCTGAGTCTAATATATTAGGCCTTTTGAGATAGTCACTATAGTTAGAAAAAATATTTATAAGTTATTACTGTCATATCGATCATATGTCTAATATGTATGATATTTTATGTATATGTACTAAGAAAGTGGATTTCTGATATTAAGCATAGAGTTATTGAGGATAAATTTGACATATGACTTGATTTGATTTATAGAGAGAAACTTGAGCATATTATAGCAAATGATGTGAGATAGTTGAGGAGCAAGTAGATCCTTATGATTAAAATTCATTAGAGGCACATATTAGATAGAAAGACCATGAGGGAAAAATAGGTTTAGGTGAAACAATTTTATCTACATCTATTTATTCTAGCTAGTTGTGAATGTCGAGGACGATATTATTTTAAAGAGGGAAAGAAGGGAAAAATATAATGATCACTTCTACAGGATTTGGATCTATATGTAGTAATTCAATTTAGATATGATAAGACTTCATATTTATTTCATGTTTACTATTTTTTTATCAATTTAGAGTTATTTAAATGCATGGTTTGTTCATCAATTTTGTGTGGTTTGGTTTGGAGAGAATTTATATATGTTGCAATATATCTTGTTGTATTAAATTAAATTTTTTAATATATTTTATATTTGATTTATAAACCTTCTTCACTATGTTATAAAGTACTCAATAATCTTATATATATACCTAATTTTATGAGCATCATATATATGAAAATATAAGATTTTTTATTGGATTAATCTTTCTTAAGGAATTACACTACTTTGTAAAAGTGAGTTTTCTAAAATCATCAAGTGTTCATTATACGAGCCTTTTTACTAGATTATTTTGAGCACATTTTAGTATTTAGCAAGTATTTTTTTTTTCATAAATTTTGGAACTCTGTATTTAAATTTATTACAATAATTTTCATGAAATTTATAATTGAAATTGTATAAATTTTATAATTATTAATACACCCTTTCATTGTTTTTTTATATAGTTCCAACATATCCCATTTCTTAAGCATCTCTATTTGCATTGCCATGAGCTCATTTAGGTAGGGAGGGAGGGAGGGGGGTCTTCGACCCGATTTAATCCATCATCATATTTCAATTTTTTCACTCTTGTGTGAATTATGATATTTTATTTGATTGGGTTTTACAAAAACTCAGACTTACAGAAATTTTGAAAGTTTTTTATTGCAAAAATTTTAATATGTTGTAGAGTGGACTATTCTTATCATATTAACAACATATATGATTTAATTTTTCACCAAATATTTATATTATATGATAGTTTAGACATTTTAATAGGCATATAGGAGCTGAAGTAAATTACTATAAAATAACAAATGCTTCGAAATGATGTTGTGGATGTTATAGATAAGTGCTTTTATGATTTGTAGTTGTTGAATTATAGCTATAAATTTATCCTCGTAAACCATAATATTTTGTCATAAATATGATCTATTTATTTTTTGTAACATGTTATATGTTATTTATGTTTGTTGAAATAGTTAATATTTTTATGTTTATGCATCTAAAAGATGTGTAAAAAGGGTAAAGAGAGAAAATTTAAGTTTTTCATTTGTGATAGTTTATGTGCATTCAAGTGGACAAATAATAGTCTGTGCACCTATATGATTATCTATCTATGCATATGATAAGGTTGAACAAATATAAATAATTAATACAAGTAGAAGTGGAGGTATAAAAGATAAATGAGAAATATGAATAAGTAGATATAGAGGTATATTAAGTACTAAAGACAAAAATATGAAATGTTTTAAAATATTCAAATATTAATTTCTATCATATTATTTCATTCCTAATATTATGTTCAAATAAATGCTTATACCTAGCATATACCCACTATTGATACTATACTTGATATATAGGTACGGCACGCACATGCTATGCTTTACTATTAATAAGCTAGCTATTATTGTTGCTAGGGTTTGCGGATATGGGGATTTTTTGACTCCGCGGTGTCCCCAGCCCTCGGGGGGGGGGGCTTTTCTCTCCGGCACTCTTCTGGTTTCAGGGAAGCTTTTACTTTCCCTGCTCTCTGCTTTTCGTTCTGGAGTGTTTTGGTGTTTTTTCTCTGGTTTCGTCGACATTTCCGGCATGGCTCCTTCAAAGCTTAAGGACCCTGGTTTTTTTGGTGGGGTTTCTCATGCGCGCTCTTTTCGTGAGGCTCTTGATGGAGTTAAGCCGGTGTTTCCGGATCTTAGGTAGTCTACTTTTCATGGTTTACCTTCACTGTGGATTTCTGATTTGGAAATTTCTGAACTTGCTATTCCGTTTCAATTCTCTTTAGTTGATTTTTTTCCTTCTAAGAGACCATCTCTGGAATCTATCCGCAATTTTTTTTTCAATTTAAAGCTTAATGGTGAAGTTTCTGTGACGGTGCTAGATCAATCTCACATTCTTATCTAGTTATCCAACGACCTTGATTATTGCAAGGTTTTTTGTCACCGTTCCTACCTTGTTTACAACTGCTTCATGAAATTAACTAAATGGTCACCTAGTCTGGATATTGGCGTTGAATCACCCATTATCTCGATCTGGATTTCGTTTCCTCGTCTTCGCCCCCATTTTTTCTCCCCAAGAATTCTATTTGGGCTGGCTGAGATCTTTGGTAAACCGTTAAAAATTGACGAAGCTACGTCGGTGGGTTCTCGTCCTTCAAATGCACGTGTTTTAGTCGAGCTTGATATCACTAAATCCTACCCTAAAAAAGTTTGGCTTGGTTCTGATTCCTTGGGTTATGTCCAGGATGTGATTTTAGATGATTTTCCTAATTTTTGTTCTATTTGCAAATGCATCGGGCACTCTAAGGGATCTTGCCGTCCGGTTTTGGATGTTTCCCCTCCTTCTTTGTGTGTGTGTGTGTGGGGGGGGAGTTGTTTCTGCTGATCGGGATGTCCCTATTATTCCGTTTGTTGTTGATGAATTAAATGTGGTTAATGATGGTGTTGTTTCGTCTGAACTTGTGGGTGTATTCGAAACTGTTCCTACTGGTTCCCCATTGCCGCTGGAGAATGTTGGGGTTGTGCATGGTGAGGTTTTTGTGGTTGATTGCCTTACTATTAATGCTGACCTGGAACGTTCTGCTATTCCTATAACTGTTAAAACTCCCACGACAATTGTAGATTCAGGTTCGGTCACTTTAGTTCAGGGTGTTTTAAATGAACCTGAGTCTTCTCTGGTAGATAATGGGGTGCTAGGTGTTGGAGGAATTAATTCTGAGGCTGTTACAATTGTTTTATCTCCTAATGCTACACATTTTCTTCCTCATGCTTTAGCTTCTGTTAGCAATGTGATGATGGCGTCTATCTCTACTGAGAATCTTAATAATTCAGAAGGTGGTGCTGCTGATAATTCGACTGTTGCTTTGGGCCCTGTTATGGTTGGGGTTGAGCCTCCTTTGTCTGATGTCAGAGAAGAGTGTAGTACGATTGTTAACAGGCTAATTGAGGTTCCAATGAATTTGATCAGTTCGCAATCTATGGCTAACGGTTTGGGTGATTGTTCTGGTTTGGATATTAGGAACCAACTCAATTGGTTGAATGGTTCGTCGGATGATGAATCAGAATCTGAATTTTAGGAAGTTGGAGTGGATTTTCCGGATTGCTGTGGGGACTCTGACACTGGCAATGATTTCTTGGTAGTTTGTGTTAAACCTACTGTCAATGTTGCAAATCGGGGGAAATTTTGGGGGAAAGGACGTCGTAGACGATGATTTTTCGTGTTTGGTTGTTTCTTTTCCCCTTTATGCTCTCCTCGAGATTTATATGCTTTTTTGGATGTCGGAATCGTTGTTGCGCTGGGCTATGGGCAATGATGGGGTCGGGGCTCGCGGCCCTGTCGCTTTGCTGGTGGCAACCTTTTATTGGACGGTCCGTGCTAGGCTTCAGGGTCGCTGGGAGCCCCGGCTGCTTACTGAGCCCCTTTTATTTTGCCTGTAATTTTCCTTTATTTTACTTTAGCTCCCCCATTTTCCAATGTTGTGACCGTTTCGATTTGATTAATGAATGTTTGTGTTAAAAAAAAAAAAAAAAAAAAAAAAAAAAAAAAAAAAAAACCTAGCTATTATTGCTCGCCCCTACTTTATTTGTTTATGTTATTTTAAGAGAAGAATAAGACTCAACTTGAGTAGAGGCTAATGACACTTATTAAGACCCAAACCTGAACGTGAATTTCAAGATCAAGGTCCATCGAATTATTTGTAGTAAAAAAGAATTATTAGAAAAAAATATGAAACTAAATAGATGCCACTATTTTATTGGTTGCAATTAAAAAATCAATTAATATTAAATTGCATAAATCCCTCAAATAAATAAATAATTAAATAATTTTTAATATATTATATACTTAAAAGACGCCATTAATATAAATCAAGTTTAATTGAAATCTAATTACCTTGTAAACAGGGCCAAACCCACCCTCTCCAAGCTTGCTCTCCTCAGAGAAATTATTTGTTGCTTCAGCAATGCTTTCAAAGTCAAATAAAGGTAGGTCTATGTCTTTGTCACTTGCCACCTCATTTGTGTCCTTGTAAACTGTTCATGAGTTATGATAGAAAGAGAAATACATATAATAGTTGATTAGGAACACTACTTGAGTAATATGAATAAAAGAAAATTGAATCATACCTCTCCTTATTAATCTTTTTCGCTTGTTGTGACGGACTATCAAACAGCTGATTAATAAAAATCCAATGAGCAAACTCCCCATAATTGGCACCACAATTGTAGCTATCTTTTTTCCCTTGTAATGAGATTGGATTGGTGATGTGCCTACAAATAAAAGAAGAAATAATATTGCACGATTCATTAGCTTCAATGAGTTATTATTTGGCATATATGACGCTCAAAATATTTCATGCTTCTTTTTTCGTTTTGTCTTTTTTCTTTTTAGGGGAACGGGGTATCCATCCGCTGTCATATTCGAAAGGTCGCTTGATAGCGTGACTAATTCTCAGATGACCTAAAAAAGACACTCACTCAGAACCCTCCTGACCCGCACTTGATTGGACCCTACTTAAGAGGCGCTGCAGCTCGAGGGGAATTGAGCATGAGTTAGAGGTTCCCAACTGTACTTGTCAACCAACCAAGCTAAGCAACAGTAGGTTCATGCTTCTTTCTTTATGATCACATATATAGGGTCATGCCTGCGTGGCAATAATTTGTAGAAATTGGATAATTATAGAGGTGAAAAATATCCTCATGTGATTTTGATAAAATATATCTAAAAAAGTTAAGATAATATGCTTATAATTAAATATAATTACATGATTTAATTTAAAGATAAATTCAAAATAATAAAATCACTTATACATAATTAAGCCATCCTTTGGGATGACTATCTTATTACTTTTTAAAGGAGTTCTTTAATTAAAAAAAATTATACTAAAAAAACTGTTTTAAAAACAGTAATAAAATCATCTTAAAACAAACCTAAAAGATAACGATCAACTTTTTAAAATCATTATAATTCATGATGAAAATGATGCCAGCACATGCAGAGTTAATTATTTCCCTACAAAAGATCCAATTTCGTACATATTCAGTACACATACCTAAATCAGCTGCGGCAACGCGGACGTAGAGGTCTTGCCCACCGTTGCCATACAAGCGCATGTCATTAAGTTGCCCGGTCCACATGATGCACCCACTTCCGCCGTTGCTGATATTAGCCAAAAAGTAAGCGGTGCAGGAGCAATTCATCAAACACCTTACCCTGCACTCATCCAACCCCAATTCCCCATCTGCCACCGCCACCGACGTATCTGGTAGCTTCACCCTGCTCACAATCAAGAATCCATCGGACGTGCCTGTCCCGTTCCGGCAATCGAGCGTCGTGTTCCTAACACACCCACCGCTCACATCTTTCAAAGCCCAACGGCCACTATTCTTTGGCCGAAATCCCGACAGGCAACTACAGTGCGGGATCTCGTTCGCGTTGCAGATGCCGAACGGCCCACACGGAGAGAAAGAATCGCATTCGTCCATGGGGGTCTGCCAGAAGAAGCTCCACTGCCCCGGCGGATCTAGCCATAAAAAACGCTGAGCTGTTCCGTTCGGGTTCAGGACCATTCTCAACTTGGCGTCGCTAGTCAGCTCAGAAGTGTACCCTACCTTCTCCCTTGTTGTGATGAAGCTTATCCTGATAGTATTATAACTGGGTATCTGTGGCAAGCCGGTGAAGCCGTTCCCGACCCATGGGCCACCGCGCCAGTAAATGATCTCATGATCTTGGGTGATGACGAGTTGCGGCACGCCTCTGAGTTGGATTGCCATGGCGTAGGTGCCGGGCGATGGGTCAGTAGAGCTCGCCCAAGAAGTTATGTTCCAGCTAAAGCCAGTCTGAAGGTCCCAGCCAATGAAAATTCCTGGAAGGGCCGTGCTTGAGGGGTAGTCGAAGCTCTGCCATTTGTACTTATTGCCACCTCTGACGATCAGGTTACCACTGGCAAAGAGTCGGGCGGTTGGGTTTGTGGCTTGGACGGTATTGGTGGGAGGAGGGGATGAAGACCAATGGATGGTAGTGTTCCGGTCTATGACGAGAAGGGTGCCGTTGGGGGCGAGGGTGAGAGAGCCAGCGAAGCCAGAAACCGGGGTACGGGCGTTGGCAACCCAGATAACGTCATGGGACGAAATGTTGTGATACCAGATGCCTACATAGCGCTTGCCGGAGCTATTGTCCGGGCTGAAGAAGCCAAGGGCGAAGACACCGCCGGCGGATACGAGGATCTCTCCGTCCAATAGGGGGCGGTTGGCTGTCAGCGTGTCGCCGAGGTTGGTCGTGGCGGAGGTAGAGTGGGTGGTGAGGAGGACAACGAAGCCAATGAAGATGATGAGGTCCTCATGATTTCTTGATTGCATCATGGTTTTGGATTCACTCGAACTCAAAGACAATTAATTAACACTTTATAATTTTTCAATGTTGGGCCCAACATTGAAGTTTGGATGTGACAGCGCAGACTACTTGAAGGACCGAGTCATTTGAAGTGTGAGGCCACTGTTTACTACAAGACTTGTACAAAACACGGCCGCTGATAAATTAAAAATCTTACAAGCACTATTTAATACGTTAGATGATGGTTACAGATTTTTAGGTGAGATATCTAACCTTTTTATGGGCAGACCTCTCGTAATAATAACAAAAAAAGAAATCCATCACAGAAAAATGTGAGGAATAAAATGTCACACTCTATGATTTGCATTTGGAGAATTATATTTATCTTTTCTTTTAATTATTTAATTTGATCTTATGAGTAAGCAACATAAAAAAATATGATAGTAGATGTGGCCGTGATCTGTTTTACATCATGAGAAATATTAAATATGAGTTGGAGTCTTTTTCTTATTCTTTTTCAGTTATTATGGTGGAAGGAAATGCCATTGCGCAGGCCCTGACCATTTTGGGTTCTATTTTCAAGGATTATAAGGAGATGTGCTGGGATCAGCTGCCTCTCTATGCTCAAGGTCTTGTCAAATTAGATCAAATTGGTTTTCCTTATGTTTGTCATTAATTTCGGCTGTTTTAGTGGGTGGTTTTGCTTTGTTCTGGGTGCTCTGTCCCTCCATTTCTGTGTGGAGTGCTAGGCTGTGTTGGCTCATGTTATATGGTTCTTGGTTTTCTTGGCTCTTCCATATTCTGGTGGCTTCAGGTTTATTGTTATTGTTCTAGAGGTTTGTCTATGCTAGGCCGTGCTTAATGCTGAGTGGTGTTGGGTGCTGCTATTACTGGTGCATTGTGATCCAAGTTCTGGTGAGGATGGTGTGATCTTTGTGTTTTGTGGTTTGATGTTGTTTTGGCTGTGCATCAGGCTTTCCCTTTTGTATTATTTGGTGAAGTGGAGTTTTATTCCTAGTGTTCTTGGCTGGGTGGGGAGCTTTTACTCGGGGATTTTGGGGAGGGATTGATTTCCCTTAACTTATCCAAAAGCAAGATTCTCTGGAATTGCGAGTTGGAAGCATAAATAACAGACATAAAAAATAAGAGATCAAACCCCACCAAAACTTCCTCTAAGATCATTTGACTAGAAGTATAAGTAGCATCAAAATGGATTTTAGATGGGTTCTATTTCACTCATATTCTTCCCAATTTGGCAAAACTGAAGTTATGACTGCTAACTCTGGTTGCCTGCTTGTTGCATGTTACAGGTGTAGACAATAATAAAATAATATATTTTCATATATTTTCTCTTGGAGGGTTGTGTGACAGGAGAAATTATTATGTGTGGAGTTTGGACGTAGTTTGTATTCGGACTCTAATTAAAATAGTTAATGTCATCTATACACACATTGTGTATAATTTGTATACTGGCTATGTACAATTTATAGTGATGTGGCCTATTTTGATTGGAGTCTGGACGCCATCCGGACTCCGCAAGTAATAATTCCTCCTCAACGGGTAGGTTTCTCCATTTGAATGTATATTTGATAATTAGAGCTTATTCTAATGAATTTAATGCTGATTACTATTATTTTGAAGCAATTTTATTCATTTCAGAGTTCAATTTTGTAAAAGAAACTTGTTTGTATATAAAAAGAAAATTTATGCTTCTTATTTGCTCTCTGTGTTGAGCATTATCTTTTTTTATGCAGCTCTTTAGTATTATCTCTATCATTTTGGGCTCTGCTCGTTTTCTATGTTTGTTCTCTTCTTCAAAGTTTGTAATTATATTTTATGATTAATGAAATTAGGCTGGGCCTTAATATTTTTTATGAAAATTTTACCTAATCAAACTTGAATGCGTGTGGACAAAATTTGTGCAAAAAATTTGAATGACATTATTGTACTGTTAAAGGGTTTTGTCATAGAATAGGGGTCTTGACTGCCACCATTCTCTCTTGGCTGCTACCCAATATTGCATGCTATGTACAGCCACCAATATGATGGCTTAATGTCACTTTCACTGGTGCATTACTGAATATTGGAAAGAATCAAGTCAACACAGGACGGCAAATGTGAGCCATTGGATTTGGAAATCCTTTAAGGCAGGACTTGTTAAACAAAAAGTACTCAATTTTCCTATCAAAATGTTATGATTTAAATTCAATCAATGTTGCTCAATATATGGCTATGATGACGCTCTAGTGCATATCTACTCTAGGTAAATGATTTGAGGGAGAGGGCTACAAGTACTTAACAGAACCTTATGCGCACTTGACTGCCATAATTAAATTGAGTGTGTTATGCTTGACGGATCACCTTCTGAACTAAGCAGACTAATCAGCCTCTTATTTGAGCAATCAAATTAGTCATTGAGTCAAGCAGCTATAATTAGGGGTGTAAATGAATCAAGTCAAGTCAAGTTTAGGCCTTTATCGAGATCGGCTTGTTAATTGGAAAGTGAGCTCAAACTCGAGCTCATCTCACTGTAAACGAGCTCGAGTCGGCTGGCGAGCCAGCTCACGTGGGCCGGAATTTTTAAATTTAGGCAGGATTTTAAAAATTAGTCTGGATTTTTGAAAACTTAAGTGAGATTTTTAAAACTTACTCAATTTTTAGAAAAAAAATATATGAAATGTTTAACATTTATAAAAAACTTAGGTGGTTTTTATTAATTTTTTTAATATTTAAATTTTATAAATAAAATAAATTTATTTTAAAAATATTAATATTTATTCGGTTACTCTGCTCGATTCTACGCATATCTTGATTAAACTTTCGAATGACCTAGATTATAGCCGAGTTTTCAACCATAGATCATACCTAGTTTACAATTGATATTTGAAATTAACTAAATGGTCTCCATCTTTGGATATTAGTGTTGAATGCCCTCTGATTCCTATTTTGATCTCTTTCCCCAGTCTTCGACCTCATCTCTTTAATCCCAGGATTCTTCATGCATTAGGGTCGATTTTTGGACATCCGCTAGATCGACAATGCCACTTCCTTGGGCTCTAGACATTTTATTGTGAGAGTCTTGGTTGAACTTGATATCACGAAAAATTATCCAGACAAAGTGTGGATTGGTCCTGAGAAGCTCAGTTGCGTCCAACTTGTTGAAATGGAAGAATTTCCTCCTTTTTGTGCTCATTGTCAATCTATAGGACATGCTCGGGGGGAATGTCAGACTAAACTTGTTGTCCCGTTAAATGTCCCTGTTAGGCCTTCTTGTTTTGTTAAGGTTTTTTATAAGTTGGAGGTTGGTGGGGTTGCTGAGCTTGAGTCTGGGGAAGTTTCTTGGTTATTATTCTTGTAGTCAAGTATTTGGAGTTATTGTCGGACCCTACTGATGCTATTGTCGGGTGGGTTAATGATGTTTTGGTTGAGGAGGATGTGTTGTCTTTATCTTTTTCTTGCTCTAAGGCTTCTAATAAACATGTTTCTTGTAGTAGGGATAATGCTGATGCTGCTAATGCTTGTAGTCCTATTGATCTTGCTGTTGGGAGTGGTGCTGCGAATGTTGTTGCCAATGTGGATAATTTAGCTGAGTTGCCCTGGTCTGCAGATATTAATCATATTATTTTGGATGTTCCTATTCCCACGGCTTCTTTTCATGTTTGTCCTCCCCTCGTTACTGTAGAGGTTTTGCCTTATGGGCATGTGCCTTTGCCACCTGTTATGGTTGACCATTTGAATTGTGATGTTCCTAAATTTTTTGAAGGTGTTTTGAATTCACAAAATTTGGGTAGGCCTAATGCTTTGAATAATTGTGTTTTACAATGTGGTCTTTCTCCTATGGATGTTTCTACTCCTATAGTTGTGGACTGTTTGAAAGAGAAGAATAATTATTTATATGAGATTAGTAGGGAAGTTGGGCATGAGCTATCTAGTGTTTCAGTCCATGTTGTTTCTCATCAAACTTCCGTAGATTTTGTTGTGGTTTCTTGTAAAGTGGTACCTAATGTTTCTTCTCTTATTGTTCAGTTGTATGGCCAGCTTGTTGAGGTCCTAGTTAATTTGATTTCTTCTAATGCTTTGGTTGCCCATGTAAGAGACATACCGAGGGATTGTGTTAGATTGCAAACTGATTGGCTTGAATGCTCCTCTCCCTCTTCTTATGAGATTGAAGAAGTGGAAGTTATAGCTCATAATGATATTTTGCGAGATGATCACTTTTGGGTGGGTAAACGTAGAAAGCAGAAATCCAAAAGATAACTCTTTTTGGGTGTGCTGCCGTGTTGGTGTTTTATTTCTTCTCCTCTGTTGGCAACTTGTAGCCTTTTCTGGATGAGTTCTTTTGTTGGCCATGCGGATATTACTGTTTTTGTTTGGGCTATGATGTGGCTCGGGCTCATCACTCTGGATCTATGACTAGTTGGCAACCTTTGGTGGTGGTTCTTCTGAGCGATGCTGGCGGTTGGTTGGCTTTTAGGTGGTTTATTGCTCATTCACTCCTCTGGATGGTCAGTGCCTGAATTCGAATTGGTTGGTAGTCTTTGCCAATACTGAGCTTGGTGGCCTTTTGTGTATACTTTTCTTCTCGATTGAGCTCCCTTGTGTTATATTCTATTGTATTCGATTTCTTATTCCGGTCATTCTATTGATTTGACCCTTGTAGTACTCCTTTTGTTTTCATGGAATAAGTGATATATTATAGGACCTAGTTGATATAAGGAAGTAGATTATGCATTCTACGAAGAATATGAACTTCGAGCTGAATTTGACTCGGGCAAAAATGTTTCAACGGCAAAAAGTTAGTTTGGGTAAACTTTTGATGCCAGGCCAAAAGTTATTTTTCAAACCTAACTATTTATCAAGTTATAATCTGACTTTTCTTAAATCGAAATCATTCACATGTTGCGTTCACATAGATCAATAGGATCTCAAATATGATAATTTCAACCCCATTTAAATTTGACAAAATTTAGTTCAATTTTGGCGACCGATAAAGGAAAATAGCCAATCAAAGTTTAGTAATTAAGTCATTATAGAATATCTTACATCATTTTGAATATTTTTTTAATTTATTAATATCAATTTATTCAATAAACATCTCTATTTTTGATGTATTATGACAGAGAAACTCCCAAGTATAAGTGCAGTATTATTTAAAGGAAATTAGATAAAAAATATAACAAATATTTTTATAGTTATATCGAGGTGCAGTTGTATATCTCCATCATTTAATCATTTTGAATAATTAAAATTCAAAAGATTTTTTTTAAAAAAATATTTAATTCAGATAATTAAAGCATGTTAAATGATGTATAAATTTATATTTTTAGATGTTCTAGCATCACACGATTACATATAAACAATAACGATTTAACTAGGAGTGTCAAAACGGATTGATGGGTCAGGTTCAAGTTCGACTCAAAGTTGACCCGAAAGGATTCTAGTCAACCCAAAATCGTACCGTTTAATAAACATATCAAAAACATCAGATAAAATTTGACCCGCGAATGACCCGAATTCGACATGTTAAAAATTTTGATTTAATTTTATTTTTATAACTTATTAATTAATAAGATTTAGCATAATTGATAAAAAAAATTAAAAAAGTAAATGTGTTTAAAAAATAAAGAAACACATATTAAACGTGATATTTTAGGTAAAAAAATGAGTTCTCAGATTAATCTGAACTTCATATGTTTAATAAAGAGTCTGAAAAATTCAACTCAAATTTAACCTATTTATTAAACAAGTCATTCTGAACCTATGTTTTTAAAATCGGATTAGGAATCGGATCATTTTTTAACCCACTTAAATTTTACTGACCGTTGATTATTATTTTAACAAGCAAATAAGAATTAAATATTATGTAAACTAATCGCAGAGAATTACCGTCCATGCATCAGATACAACTTCTTAAGAAAATTATTCCGTCAGTAGAGTTATATCAGGTAGCTTATAATATGTCGTCACGTGCACTTATTCTTTATCGTGCGGCCCGACGACCTGACTTGGACCGAATCCGGGATTATTATGTTCGCGTATTGCTCGGTATTTGCTCAGTATTGCTAGGTATTACTCGGTATTGATTTCCAATAACGATAAATACCGCTATATGAAGATCTTCATATAATAGTATTTTTTGTTTTTGTCGAGCAAAATCGACCAATATCGAGCGACGCAAACTCCCGGGTCCGTTCCAGGTCGGGTCGTCGGGCCGTGCGGTGAAGAGTAAGTGCATGTGACGATATATTATAGTCTACCTGATGTAGCTCTAAGTGATGCAATAATTTTTAGCAAAATACAAATGGAGTGGGCCCCGGTTGGATTTTAGGTCTTCGTGCTGATGCCACACTCCATGAAAGAACTTTTTGCCTCTGGTAGAATTCCGCGTTTATTAGTCTTCCACCAAAGTCGAAAGGACAAAAATAAAAATACCTTCTTCCTCTCCTAGAAATTGTATAACCATTCCATACCTTTCATGAATCATTTCTTATTAGCCTAAAATCAAAATTTAGAGCAGAGGCATGGCAATTTTCTTGCTCGCCATCCTCTTCCTACTCTCCTCCACGCAAAGCATCCCCTCCGCAGCAACCGACACCATCACTCCGTCCCAACCTCTCACCGCCGGCCAAACCCTCATCTCCGCCGGAGGCATATTCGAGCTAGGCTTCTTCAACGCCGCCGCACCTTCCAACTTTTTCTTAGGCATATGGTATTACAAAATCCCGATTCGCGAAATCGTCTGGGTCGCTAACCGCCGATCTCCGATCACCGCCCGGAACGCCACTCTTTCTCTAACCAACGACGGCAATATTCTCATCACCGCCGGCAACGTCAACGGCGGCGGCGGCGGCATCGGAACTATTTGGTCGACGAACACCTCCGGCGTAAAAATCCCATCTTTGAAGCTCCTCGACTCAGGCAACCTCATGCTGACCGACGAGGGATCAAATGCCATTATTTGGGAGAGCTTTTACGACCCTTCCAACGCTTTCCTCCCCGAAATGGAACTCGGATTAGACCTAACACGTCACCTTGAAAAGCGGCTCATGTCCTGGAAATCGCTCGACGACCCCTCGCCGGGCGCGTATACCTACGGCGTTCGCCGCACTGGTTCATCGGAGCTCGTAGTCTGGAGCGGTTCAAACATCCAGTATCGAACAGGGCCATGGACTGGAGTTTCATGGAGCGGCATTCCCCAAATGAACTCGGATGTCCACTTCAACTTCATCTTCGTAGTTCAACCCGACAAAATTTTCTATACATACGAATCGGTCAACAAGTCCGTAATGACTTTAATAACCCTCGATCCCAGCGGTGGTTTGCAACGGCTGGTGTGGCTCGGCGGCCAGTGGAGGCAGTACTGGTGGCTGCCGGAGGACAAATGCGACGGGTACAACACGTGCGGGGCGTTCGGTATATGCAACGTGTATTACCCTGAAGGGGTTTGTAAGTGCTTACAGGGGTTTGAGCCGAGGGCGATGGTGGATTGGACGTTGAGAGATTATTCAGGAGGGTGTAAGAGGAGAACGGCGTTGGCTTGCTCTGGAGGAGGGGATGGCTTTGTTAAGGTGAGTGGTGTGAAGCCGCCGGACACGGAGAACGTGACGGTGGCCGCCGGCCTGGGAGTAAAGGACTGTGGTGTTTTGTGTTTGGGGAAATGCTCGTGCGTGGCTTATGTTGTGCTTGGTGGGAATTGACTGTGGTGGGTTGGTCAGCTAATGGACATCAAGGAGTTTGCTTCATGGACTCAAGGAGGTGTAGATCTCTATCTCCGGCTAGCCGCCGCTGATTTGGGTATGCTCATTAGGCCGAAATTTAATATCACAGACGTATTAGCCATTGTTAATTAATTACTCTTTCCAAAAAGATATCCTATTTGCTACGCAAGTGGTTCAACAATGTATCTATAATTCTATATACATATAGATTAGGTGGTAATACTTACTAATAGGATCATTAAATTGAATGCCAATGAATCCAGCCAGTGGACAATCTTGACCAGTCAAAGTCTATCAAATTTGTCAAATAGCTTCAAAAAGAAAATAAAAATTAAAAACCGAACCGGGTCTGAAGGTTCCATTGGGTTGCATTCTAAACCTTTAGGAAGTATATATCAAACCTTAGTTGCTCCAAATTTCAGATGAAAGATAGCCAAAATGAAGCTGGGGAATAAGATTGGATTGTGGGACCTGATGCGAAAAAAAAAAAATTTGTAGACCTGATTCGAAACGTTGTTGTACGTTCATGATTGAGTTATGTAATTAATGATCTTCGTCAAAGAGCTCCTTCCTACTCAAAATTTCTATAATAGCCTTGGAAAGAGGAAACCTCCATTTTCCACGGTGACATCGCCTGAAAATGACTTCTGCCGTGATACAGATCACATGGACAAGTAGAAAGTTAGATCACTAATAAATATTTTTTTTGCACGGTCATGTTAATTATACTGATGCCATAAATTCTAACGGGATAATTTCTTATGCAGATTCAACAGAAAGTGCGTCAAGCAAGAGGAAGCATATAGTTGCAGTAGTCATCCCATTGGGGTTAGCTTTTATCATATTCTCTTGCTTTGGGATTTATGCATTAAGGAAGAAAAGAAAGCAGGGTAGGTTATCTAGCTACATGTGCCTTCATTTTTTTTTTTAATGATAAAAATTATTTAAATAGCTCCAAATTCAATAGAATGATATGTGATGTATGATTTAGGTTTCGTTTGGAACAGTTTTCATGTGCTTTATAAAGCAGCTTTTTAGTTTTAAAAAAAAAAATTTAAAAATTTGTAAGCTATTTTAGAAAGCAATAAGAAAGCTGTCCCAAACGAAACTTTAATATGAATTTGGAGCTTAAATAATTTTGGGTGATCACAGAACTTTTAGTCAACTATTGAAGAACAGGTTTATTAATCCTTCTTAATGTTTAATAGCACTAATGACATGCAAGTAAAAAAGAAAAACAAGTGTTACTTTTGAATATTTAAAGCTTGCTTGTCAGGTGTAGGAGATGGTTATGTGAAGGAGAGCAGAGGAAAAGAAATGGAACTTCCCTTATTTGATATGTCTGCAATTGAGATTGCTACAAATAACTTCTCTGACGGACATAAGCTTGGAGAGGGAGGATTTGGCCCTGTTTATAAGGTAAATTTGCGAACACTCATCATTTAACCATTTAATTTATTAACTAAATTTTGAATGAACATGAAATTTCCCTATGCTAAGAAGCTTTCCCGATATTAGTCTTTTTCATCGTCTCTACTTCCATCTTCATTTCATTTTCATGTTTGATATCAAATGCTTGTTTTATTTAGCTAGCTGCTTGTAAGCCCCATATATTTTTTGGCTAAGTAAATTATATTGGATATTGAACTATGAGCATAAATTGATTGTATTGTTTATGCAATATCTAATGAATTATTTTATCCTCCATATACAATTACAAAAGTTAGAAGATGTAAATATGCAATGTCTGAAGCTGCTTGAATGTTGAAATCTGCAGGGTCATTTAGGAGATGGACAAGAGATTGCTGTCAAGAGATTATCCAGATATTCTGTTCAAGGGTTGGATGAGTTCATGAATGAGGTTATGTTAATTGCAAAACTGCAACACAGGAATCTAGTTCGTCTTATTGGTTGCTGCATTAAGGGAGAGGAAAGGTTATTGATTTATGAGTACATGCCCAATAAAAGCTTGGATTCTTTCATATTTGGTTAGTGCCAAACACTTTTTAAAACGCCATATTTAGTTTCTTTGTTGAGAAACAATTTTGTAATCATCTATGTGATAATGCTGAGAAATCTAACTGAATGCAAATAGGGAAATGATGTGGGTGCAAACCAGTTATGCTTTTTGTAGGATTTGAGTAATTTATGTTCTGAAGTTTGTTGTTCGGATCAAAGCCTTTATTATCATTAGAATATGCAACTTATTCATTTATTTGACTTATTCTATACGCTTATTTATTCACAGCTCTATTTGAAAGTGGCTATATTTTATATATTCGAACTCCTGAAAAAACTTTTCTATAATCAGGATAGTCAACCACATTATCCTGGTCTTTCAATAAGGTTCTAATTTCTGCGAGAAGAAATGTGTTGGAAAATAGTCATGGGATTATTTAGTATCATGGCGATGAGTATTATCTCTTTATGTTGTATAAATTGTGTGATTTTCTAATATTTGAGAATTATTGTTGTTGCCAAATAAATTTTTATGCTTTCCCAACTATTTTTTTCCCTTTGTAAAGCTAAAGTAACATAAAATATTGTGGCAGATAAAGCATGCAGCTGTCAGCTGGATTGGCAAAAACGATTTGATATAATTATTGGAATCGCACGAGGATTACTCTATCTTCATCAAGATTCTAGATTAAAAATTGTTCACAGAGATCTCAAGGTTAGCAATGTTCTTCTTGACAAGGAGTTGAATCCCAAAATATCAGATTTTGGCATGGCAAGGATTGTAAGAGGAGACCAAATGCAAGAAAGCACAGAGAAAGTGGTTGGAACATAGTAAGTTTTCTCATTCTTTATTTCACTACCTATAGTATGAACCTTCAGAATATCTTACAATTCTATATTTTCATATGACAGCGGATACATGTCACCCGAGTATGCAATGCATGGCATCTTTTCAATAAAATCTGATGTCTTTAGTTTTGGAGTTATTGTTCTTGAAATTCTTACTGGTAAGAAGAATAGAGTGTTTGATCCAAATGACAACCATGTGAGCCTAGTAGGGCATGTAAGTATCATTAGAGAAGAGAAATCAATATACATGTTGCCTTTTATATATATGGTTCTAATTTAGGAATGCTTATGCAGGCCTGGAGACTATGGTCAGAAAGTAAATCCCTGGAGTTAGTCGATGATGCGCTCAAGTATGGCTATCCAGAGAAGGAAGTTCTGCGATGTATGCAGATTAGTCTCCTTTGTGTGCAAGAAGGTAGCGAAGATAGGCCTACAATGGCTTCAGTGGTTTTGATGTTGGGTAGTGAAGGCATGACACTGCCTCAACCTAAGAGGCCTGGCTTCTATCCTAAAGATGGTTCTAAAGTAGCAAATTTGTCAACGTCGGATCATGTCTATAGTAGTGGAAATGATATCACTGTTACAATGATCCATGGTAGATAGAGAAGCTGAATCAAAACCTATTAACAACCCGGGTGGTATAAATGACAGTAATAATGTAGCTGACATCCAACTAACTAATCAAGATGCCGCGGCTTTGTTGTGACTAGCAAAATTTTCTTGATGTGAGTAGGAAAAGAGCAGAAAAAGTATAGGCTATTTTTACATAGCCGTTGTATATAAACTGGAAGTTGTGCACTATTACATCAACAAATTTGATTTTATTCCTCACTCAACAGTGTGGCTGCTTGATGTGTTTATCATCGATTCTGCTTTTATGGCTTATAGGCAGCATAAGTGCTGCAATTGTTATATATTGCTCTTTGGCCTCTTATATGTTTAGCGATTTTAATAAAGTTGAGTTTTGTTAGATTTGCAGCCAACTCCCTATTAGTCATTTAATTACCTGTTCGCTTGCTTGTAGATAAAAATATAAAGTTTAAAACGTGAGGATGCTACTTCTCATCAACAATTGAATTAAAAAATATCCATAAATCACATCCAATTATGTCGAGAGTATCGAATAAAAAAAAGAGAACATAAAAATAGAGAGAAAAAAAATCTCAAGTAAAAAGCTGTGAGATTTCATTAAAATGAATAAAAAATATTTGAGCCTTAGAAGTCATGACTTAAGCAATTAATTGGATTAAGTCAAACTATACTACATATTAAATATGAACATTACAACATAATGTAAAAAACATTCCAAAAAAATGCGACAAATTTAATATGGAGTTTAGATGGCTAAAGCCTTAATATATTTACTTACCTTCATTATCTCCCAAACGGTATTGTCAATGATATCTCATTTATAGAATCAGATTCTTGCTTAGTTGACGATGAATGATCCCCTTCAAATGAATGTTGCCTCATTGCAACAAAACCAGGACGCTTAGGCTCTGGTAATACCTCTTTATCACTAGTTAACATCAGAATAACAGAAGACATTAAGGGCCTATCGTTAGGGCGTTCCTGAATGCACAAAAGCCCGACTTTTATGCATCTTAATACTTCCGCAATAGAGAATGAATTGCTTATTGATTCATCAACTAATTCTAAAGTCTTTCCTTTATTCCATAAGCTCCACGCCTGCGTCAAACAATATATATATAGGTTGTTTATCCATAACAACAAATGATTTTTTATAAAGAATAAAAGATAATAGAACTTACCAGTTCTACAAGATGATTAATAGATTTAGATTTAGAAGAATCTCTATTCCTTTGATTGCTTATAACCTCAAGAACTATAACACCAAAACTAAATACATCAGATTTTGCAGAATAAATGCCTTGTATCACGTATTCCGGAGACATGTAGCCACTGCATGAAAAGATTTAGTTTGTATAATTAATAATTATACAAGTTATATGAAAATAATATCTTATGTATGCATTAGGATATATAAATCATAAACAAACAGCTCTTACTATGTTCCTACTACTCTTTTGGTCTCAGATTTTGCCTCATCTTCTCCAAATATTCTTGCCAAGCCAAAATCAGAGATCTTAGGCACCATCTCTTGATTGAGAAGAATATTACTAGCTTTCAGATCTCTATGAATAACTCTAACTGCCGAATCTTGATGAAGATATAAGAGTCCTCGAGCTATTCCAACGATTATGTTATAACGAATTTTCCAATCTAGCAACATCTTCTTTTCTTTGTCTGCACTTAGATGTAGTAGGTAAGTATAAGTTTGCTAATAAATAAAAATATTAGCAAAATAAGTCTGGCTTGTGTTTTGTAGGGCCTGGAGCAAGTATTTATTTATTTTTAACAAGTTGACCCCAAATAAGAAACTGAAAAAATTAATTAGAAGCAATATTCACGACCTTACCAAATAGAAATTTATCTAAGCTTTTATTTGGCATGTACTCATATATTAGCATCCTTTCCTGTCTCTGTATGCAACAACCTAAAAGTAGAACCAAATTTCTATGCCGAAGCTTTGTTATTGACATCACCTCATTTTTGAATTCATTTATCCCTTGCTTTGAGCTTTTGGAGAGTCTTTTCACAGCAATCTCCGTTCCGTTTTCTCTGATCTTTCCCTAAACATTAGCATCTCATGTAAATATTTATATGCAACCAACTGAAATTGAATTAGAACAAGTTTATCATCATATGAAAAAGCTAAGAAATAATATTTTTTTTAACCAATTTTGTTTTAGCCAAGTTCTTTTGAGTGAAAAAAAAAATCCTTGAAAATTGCACACAAAGGTATGTTGGGTATCATTTTATTTGGAAACATCTATCCATTCACCTAGGGTCTATTGGGATCAATTTTTTATTTTAATTTTAATTTTATTTGTATTTTGACATGAAATAAAATATGTTTGGCATATTAAATATATGTTTTTTTAATGTCAAATAATTTGATTTTTGTGGTAGCGGTGGCGGCTAACCGGCATTGATAGCGGTGAGCATGGGAGTTGGTGGTGATGACAAGGTCATTCGTTGAAACAAGATGGTGATTACATGGATATTTATGTGAATACGAAATAGTCTATAAGAAACAAACGTATGCTAACTCCTCAAAATGTTTGCATCATTTTAATCCCATAGAAGTCAAGCTCATTTACTACATCAAAGTTAACAAGAAATGAGATGATTCAAATTCCACTAGATGATGAACTACAATCAACAAAACTTAAGACCTTTTACAACTTCCAAACCTTTTTAACAAAATTTCAGACCCTTTTATTTTGTCACCATCATTTTTTAATTTTATTACAGTGAAGTCTTTCCAAACTTTTAAATGTCTCTATTAGGGGTGCAAACGAGGTGAGTTGAGCTCGAGTCAGGCCTAACTCGAGCTCGACTCACGAGCCAAATCCTGATCTCGAACTCGGCTTGTGCCACTGAAACGAGCATGTCTGATGTGAAACTACCAGGAGTTGGCGAGAAATTAAGAAGAGCAATCGTCTAAAACTTTTCCAATATAAAATTAATGTTCACACAAAGAAAGATTTTATAAATTCGAAGCTTTTAACTTGCTTAGGCAAAGAAGTACACGTTAGATTAATCAAGCATCAAAGAAAAGAGTAAGTTTTATGAGCGCAATAACAATAATCCACAATTTAATAATGAGAGATTTCACCTTGAGGACCTCCTCACTCAATCACTTGTTGGGTTAGCAGAAAAAGATATTCCACACTAGAGAAGAGATCATCACTAGGAAGAAGTAGCCCAAGATCTTCGTTGATGGAGAGGTAGCTGGCAACAGATGGATTGGTGGACGCCCCACAATTGTTCACGATCCGATGAGGTGTTCCTCAATTGACGGTGCCAACGTGAAGATGATGCGGTCAATGTAGTTTTCCACGAAGTCGTCGACGTCCAACTTTAAATCAAAGAATGGAGATCGGAGAATGTCGGTTTGGCCCAAAGAATCCTCTACAATCTCATGATCAACATTCGGGTCGGCCATGCGTGATTGTCTAAGAGACAAAATAGAGAGTGAGTGGAAGAGGGGGTCGGGTAGGATTGGCCAAGCAAAGGGGAAAAAGGGAAAAGGTTAAATCAGAAAGTAATTTCAAATTTAGGGAGTAATTAGAGATTAATGTCTTTGAAATTCAAATTTGAAACAAGTGGGAACTAGGAGAGAAAGTGGGGAGATGATTGAATTAATTAGATCCTTAATTTATGGGATCTAATTAATTAAAAGGGGAATGTTAGGGTGGCCGACCAAGGAGAGATGGAGGGAGGGATTTGGGTATTAATGAGGTGGTCCCATGCAATTAAAAGGACTGATGGTGTAAATCTAAAATTGATTTCAGATTTAAATTAATTGGGAATGTTTCCTACATTAGAGGAGGGCTATTTATGAGGAAATTTGAAATTCAAATACTTGAATTTGAATTTGAATCAGCTCCTAAATTAATGGGACCAAATTAGGAAAGAATTTATTATGGATTTGAATTCAGATTTGGAGGGGGAAAACGTATGGGGGGTTCGGTGGCTGTGGTAGGGAAGAGAGTCGGTGAGTGGGGGTGAACACGGAGGTCCACCGGTCGAGTGGGGTTGTGGTTGGGGGTCGGCGGACGGTGGGAGAGGAAATGAGGTGGGGTGCCATGGGTTGGAAAGGTGAGGAGAGGAAGGGAGGCTCTCGGTTTGGGAGAAAGGGAGAAGAAGGGCAGCGGGCTTGGGGAAGGGGAAGGGGAAGGGGAAGGGGAAGGGGTCGGCTATGGAAGTATAAGGGGTGAAAAGGAATATGAAGACTAACCACGAGTCTCGGCTCCTACAAGCGGCCGATGGGTGATGCTATGCTCTCTTCTAGGATCTCTACTCTCAAGAACTCACAAAGAGATCAAGAACCAAAAGCTGAATTTTCATTTCAATCATCATCCCTTTTACAATAGAAAAGGCCACAATATATAGGCCTAGAGAAATAAAATAGCAATGACTCAAATGCCCCTCAGGCTACAACTCAAGCAAACTCAAAAGAAATGGTACAATCATAAATAAATAAACTACAATACATAAAAGTATAAAAAATAAAGATTATGAATCGTAGCCATCGATCTACGATTCCTACGTTGAGAGACTCGTCGATAACGTCTGTCGATGTCCTCATCAATGTCGATCGGCTCAATTCCATGGTTCGAGCTCGATTTCGCACACTTTCACCCTGCATCCCTCATCCCAGCTCCAATTTTGCCCTACGTCTCACGTTCGAGCTCTGATTTCGCCCTGCATCTTGCGTCAGAGCTCCAATTTCGCATTTGAGCCCGCCTGCGATTTCATTTTCCCGCCCCCACAATTTTGCGTCTAAGCCCACGTCCGAGTCCGCTCGTGAGTAATCGAGTCGAGTATCAGCTGGATTAAACTTGAGCTTGAAATTATGCTTGAGCTTGAAACTCAATAAGCTCAACTCACGAGCTCGTTAACGAGTCAAGCTCGAACTGGCTTGGGTCAGTTGCACCCCTAGTGTCTATCACTTCCTCCTTTTAAAGAGATTCCCCTGAATATCATTAATAACAATTTCCACACTCCAACAATATTTATAATCACATCAACTGTAACATTTACTTAAGTGTAATTCATGATTTAATCACTAGAATCTATATTTACTGGATGTAAATCAAGACCTAGATGTTGTAAACTATTAAAATTTTGAGATGAGGTATTAGACATACTTAAAATAAAACATCATTCAACTTCAAAATTTATGTTAATATATTATTATAACATATGAACTAGATATGAAATTCATGATAATATTTAATATCACTGCATATAAGGAATTTGCAATATTTTGTCACATGGATATACGAGGATTCATTTGTGAATTTTACAAATTTTTTTTATTTATGACATTATGTATGGTTTATTATTAATTTTATTCCTAATACTATATACATATATGAAAGCTAAAAAAATTTATTCTTGCAAAGTATATAAATGAACTATATTATAGTGCTTTGTGAACCAAAGAAAGAGCATTAAATATTTGTTTTGAATTGAGAGTGAAAATTTTAGAGATAAATACAACAACAACATTGTCTTTATCCTACAGCTTGGGGTTGGCTATATGAATGTTTTTTCTCCGTTATGTCCTATTAAAAATTAAATTATTCATTATGTCCTATTAAGAATTAAATTATTATTTAAATTTAATAAAAAAGGACTTTTCTTATAATTTTTAACCAAGTCTTTTTAGTTCTACCTCTAGCTTTCTTAACATTGGCTAAATCTAATACATCTACTCACTTAATCGGGTAATCCGAAGGTTGATGTTTTATGTGCTAAACCATCTAAGGAGATTCTAATCTTATCTTCCACTAGAGCTACTCCAGCCTTCTCATGTAAATACTCGTTTCGCATTCTATCTCTATAAGAGTGAAGCCACTAATTCGCCTGAGCAACATTTTAACTTAATTTTATGCTTTTCTTTTAATGACCAACATTCGGTGCCATAAAATATTGTAGGTCTCACTACCATCTTATAGAAATTTCTCTTAAGTTTGAGAGGTACTTTTCTGCCACACAACATGCCTGATGCATTCCTCCACTTCAACCATCCAACTTGAATTCTACTAATAATATCCCGATCTATTTAACCATCACTTTGAACAATAGAACCGAGTTTTAGATATCTCGGGTCTATCATTCAAAGTGATGCTGAAATAAATAGAGATATTATTAGCATTGATGCCCTATCTCTGTCACGACCCGACCCGACGGGGACGGATCCTGGACGATGCCCAAATCGGCCTGGACGATGTGCACAAAAAACCACCTGGAGCAAAACTGGGCAAAATCTGGAGCAAAATTACAACTGATCGTCCCAGGACGATCCAGATCGTCCTGGACGATCCTGGAGCAGATTTTTTTTTTATATTACAATCTCCTCCTCACCTCCCTCCTCAGTTTCCTCTTCATCACAGACGGTGAGAATCTGAAGAGTTCGATCCTTGCATCAATGCCCTAGGGTATAATTTTCATCGCACTTGAAGCACAACCCCTTAGCCCTCTTCTCCTATATCTCATTCTTTGTCAGCCGCTTGAAATTTCCCCCACTCCCTCCTCCTACTGTCTTCTCTTTCGTGGTCTCCCGACTTCCTCCTGTTGCAGGACCTTTAGGTGCTAGATGGGTGGTTGTCATCCTATAAGTATCCCCTGTGCAGCAGCTCCTGGCTCCCCTCTCCAAATTTCTCTGATTTACAACCACCTGGGCCAACTTCATGGCCTCCCCCAAGTCACGGGGCATTAGAACCTTCATTGTTGCTCGGATCTCCGCCTTCAACCCCTTCATAAAATTTTCCTCCAATATCGTATATGATAGTCGCTCCACCCTGCTAGCTAGGTGCTCAAATCACTTCCAGTAGTCTGCAACTGATCCCTCATGTGTCAAAGCAAAGAACTGCTCATAGAAATCTCCTACCCGATCGGTTTGAAAACGTTCTATTATGCAGTCATTGAATTCCCTCCAATTCATAATAGGCCTCCTCTGGTCTCTCCACTAATACCAAGATAGAGCTTTTTCCTTATAAGAACAAGCCTGATGCTGTCAGCTTCTCTTCCTCCGTCAGCCCATTGACGGTAAAGTATCGCTCCACCTTATAAATCCACTAATACGCATCTTCTCCTTCAAATATAGGCATCTTCAACTTTCTCACCTTCTGGTCGCCACCATTACCCCTTATTCTTCCATAGTTTCCCCTCTCCCAAGTGCTAGGCCCATCCCACATCTCCCGATCTTCCCTTGCCCTGTCATAGCCCAAACCCCCTTCGAAATCCCCCCTTCTTTCTTCAAAATCAGCACCTCGACAGCTATAGTAACCCTCCTGACTTTTCACATATCCACCTCCTCTTTCTTCCCTCTGGGCAGGCTCCAGATGGGGTCTTTTTCTTTCTCCTTCCATGATTTCCACCTCATCGTCCTCCCTACGAATTTCAGAATTTGTGTTCTTCCCTTCCACCCCTTTTGCCACGGAAGCCGCCATTTGGTTTTGAATTTCCAACATTTTCTTCATCATGTCCCGGAGATCGGCTACTTGTCCTTTCATGGATGAAATCCTTTTCTCCATCATTTTCTTGATTTGATTCATCTCCCCTTCAAGCCTTTCTTCCAAATCATCCACCTTCTTGGCCGCCATCACAATCCGGAGTTTGTAGATTCACAAAATCTGAATTTGGGACTCAAAAAACAACAACTTCCTCCTTTTCCGGGCCAAAAATTGCTGCAGGAATTTGCCAAAAACAGCCCTCCACCGATCCCAAGACTTGCTCTGATACCAATTTGATAAAAAATAGTTGAGTTCGCAAGTAATCTTATCAGATCTACTTGAGTTCGCAAGCAAACCTAGCAATAATCGGTAAAAACAACGAGAAAATAACGGAATCGTGGTGGAAGAACAACAAAACGATAGCAAATCTTATAACAAACAAAGAGAGACAAGAACAAAGCAAAGATACAAGAGATCCTCAATTTGAGAGGAGGATCGTCTCTCCCAAATCTCTAGACAAGAGATTGTAGAGCTCAAACGCCAAGAAACCCTAATTTCAATCAATCAAAACATAATCTCTCCTAATCCCTTCCATCCCCTTTAATACAATATCTTTCCAAATTTAATTTCCCTCCCAAGCCCTAGCCGCCCACTCCTTTTCAATTTGATCTTGTTTGGACTAGTGGGGCCCGCCCCTTTGGGCTAAAACAAGAGAGGAGGCGAACTCCTTCCGCCTCCTGTACACCAATTGAGCCGGCCTCCTTTGGGCCGGCTGGGCTGATTCACCTTGAACCGGCATATCAATCAACTTGGCTTATGTTACCTGTAAACCGACTGGTTCATTAAATCTGATTTCTCTGCATTATTAGCTCCTCTATTTACCACTTGAGAGCCAATTGCTAGCCCCTACGCTGTATTTCAACTCTTCTAGTATTGGTTAACTCCTATATTGTCAGTTAGCTCATCTACCTCCATCCTTTGACCTGCATACTAGTTCCTTTATTGTTAATCAGCTTTTTTTTTATTTCTATTTTTCCTACACTGATTCGTGATCATATAAATATTATTGCTATTATTTGACAACTAACATGCATATTGCTCATTGTCGTGCTTTGAGCTAGTTATAGAATTTGGTAATTTGTTGGGCGCTTGAGCTTATTATATGTAATTAAATGATTTCAGGACAGGGAAAAAGAGGATGATGTGAAATTGATCAAGATTCTTCAAGTTCAAGCATTTGTTATTTAAGTTATTATTTTGTACTCATGACATATAGTTATGATATGATTGTATATATCATGAGTAATAACGTGATTTTTTGAAAAATAAATACAATATATATATATATATATATATATATATATATATATATATTCTTTCACTGATATTTATATTGATAAAAGAAATTAGGAAGCTCTAGTTATTGTTTATTAGAAGATAAAAGAATAATTCTTCCATAATGGATTCTGGGGCATCATAGCTCGGTCCATCATTCCTCTGCTTGCTGCATTGGAGCCTACTAGCTCTTATGCTATTTGCTAGCTCTATGTGTGTCTATTAGCTCCTCTTTTTTTGCCTTAGAGCTATCACTACCTCTTATGCCACCACGTTGGTTTCACATGTTAGATCCTAACTTGCTCATTAGTGAGTGTTAGTTTACTATATGTCACCATCCAAAACTCCTAGTCTGACCATCATCTTTTTTTTACATTTGTGCACCATGTATAATAGGACCATCTTTATACATGATTGATGGAGATATAGACTTTCTATATAAAGAGAGGCACTAGCCTCCCCATAATTTTCTCTATCCACCACTCATTGGTCGTTGGACTTGATGATAGGCCAAGGTGGACAACCCTTCTACCTTATACATTTTTATAATGATTGTGGATCTTCTCCTCTCACCTTACTATAGACGTTAGCTACAATTCTAAATAACATACCCCAACATCTTCGGATGTTACTTCTATGACATATTTTCCCTACTCCTTTCTCCACTCGACCACAAAAAAATATCATCCACGGTTGACTTTCTCCCCCCAGATTGGAGGTATCTGCAACTATAAAAAGAGCCAAAACCATCCTCTTCAAACTTCACAAATCTCTTAAACATAATAATTTTATTGACACACAGGAATAAATGAATATAGAATATAATCATACTTTTAAAAAGCAATATCTATTTGTAAGTCCTTTAATAATAATCAAATTTATCTGAAATCTAATTACCTTGTAAACAGAGCCAAAACCACCCTCTCCGAGCTTGTTCTCATCTGAGAAATTATTTGTTGCATCAGCAATGGTTTCAAAATCAAATAAAGGAAGATCTATGTCTTTATCACTTGCCACCTCATCATTCTCCATTTGCACTGTTCATAGTCACCATAAAAAGAGAAATAAAGACAAGAGAAATACATATTATTGATTGGGAACACTTGAGTAATATAAATAAAGGAAAATTGGATCATACGTTTCCTAATAAAATTTCTTCTCTTCTTGTGACGAGCTATCAAACAGCTGATTAATAAAAATCCAATTAGTAAACTCCCTATAATTGGCACCACAATTGTAGCTATCCTTTTGCCCTTGTGATCAGATTGACTTGATGATGTGCCTACAGATACAACGAGAAATAACTTATATGATTTATCAGCACTAATGAGTTAATATTTGGAATATAATGGCGCTCAAAATATTCAATCCATCCTTTTAATGACCACTCGCTAGCTATATATGAATTCAGATCTTCTGCATTTTGTTATATTAACTGCAAAAGGTGCAGCTATAGATGCTAGCCAACCTATTCAATTTGAGGTCAGGATTCTCTGCCTAAAAACAAGGCTCATTTTGAAGAAAAACAGAGAAAGCTTCTATCTGGAAGATAAAAACATTTAATTTCACTTCGATCAAAATAGGTTTAAACTTGATACATGAAATTTTTATAATAGCATTATATAACGCGATTTTAATTTGAAGATAAATTTAAATTATAAATATATTTATATATAATCAGTAGAAAAGAAAAATGATATCATTTTTTAAGATCATTGTGAATTTTGATGTCAGAATATTCTGATCTGATTCCAGTTATATGAAAAATTATATTAAAACACTTCAAAATGTTGAAGCAGCTAAAACTATTTAGAAGATTTTGTTCAACTTGAGATAGAGAATGAATGACTTCAAATGAATCCTGAGCTATAATCATGATCAAATGAAATCGAATTATAAATAGCACCAAAAGAAGTCAACCTAAAAATAAATAAAATAATTAAAAAAAATGTATACATCTTTATTACTTTTTATTCTCGTGCATATTATATATGAGGCTATTTTATCGAATACAATATTGCTTTGATATATATTAAGAAAATTCATTTTGATCAGCACAAATCTTAATATAGTTTTTGTATTAGGAACTTTCAAAATTAAATTCAAAATCATTTAAAGTCTTATTTTAGCAAATTTATAGTCAAATTGAGCATCCAGATGAACCGAACAATACCAAAGGTGGTCTAATCTAAGTCCAAATAAGCTAAAATCAAGCACCTAAATGAGAGCTAATAATTTTTGGGACATTAATTGAAGTATCAAATGGTCTCTGTCTCTTTGAATTTTGCATCCCTATTGTCAAAACAAACAATTTGATGTGATAAACCCAATAAAGTCAAGGCCATTCTATTCTGAGGCCATAAAAGTACTTAATTATGAATAAAAGATTTATAATCAAACTATTCAATATAAGTTCTCTGATGGAGTATTATAAAATTTTAGCTAAATTTAGCAAAATACACATTTTAACGTAATTATAAATAAACCCTCATACTTCACATGAAAGGGACTTAGAGATCGAATGTACTTAGACTTCAATTTCGTGATAGCTTAGAGATCTAAGAAATTTCAGAACTCTACTTGATGTTTGATGTTGACGATCACGGCCAGCCATCACCATCGTCTAATTGTCATTGTCTAGCCCCTATCACTCAACTGCTATGATGCACCGACATGGACACGGCGACACAGACACGACACAACACGGATACGGGACACGGCAATTTTTAAAAATATAGGACATGGGTGCGGCGTGGACACAGCATAATAATTTTTTAATATAATATATAAAAATTAAGGTGACATTATAGTAAAAATGTCAAGCAATAATAAATCAATTTCATGATAAGTTGATAACTTGTTTAGCTTATAATTTTGAAGTTTGCTTGTTTTTAAAGTTCATAAGTTGTTTGTATGTGAAGATACCGAGTGATACCGAGCATGTACCTAGCAGTACCGAGCATATACCTACCAGTACCTAGCATGTACCTAGCAGTACCGAGCATGTACCTACCAGTACCGAGCATGTAGCTACCAGTACCGAGCGTGTACCTACCAGTATCGAGCATGTACCTACCAGTACCGAGCATGTACCTACCAATACCGAGCATGTACCTACCAGTACCGAGCAGTACTGAGCATGCACCTACCAGTACCGAGCATGTACCTAGCAGTACAGAGCAGTACCGAGCATGTACCTAGCAGTACCGAGCATGTACTGAGCTGTACCGAGCATGTACTGAGCGGTACCGAGCATGTACCTAGCAATACCAAGCAATACCGAGCATGTACATTAGGTTTTTCAACAATGAAGAGAAGAAATGGCGCAATCCACTTACAGTTCTTGGCTCTCTTGCGCGCAGAAGGTGCTCTGTTTGACCTTGATTGCGAACTTTGCCTCGAATGACAGCAGAAATAATGCAAGAACGAAGGAATGAGAAAGACGAGCTCTGCTTGGCCGAGCAGAAATGACGAAGGAACGGGAGGCGAAGGCAACGGGCTCCGTTTGGAGTCGACTGTGAGCTCTCTTGGTCCGCCCTAGAAGATTTCTTTCGTGGATCAGAAAAATAGGGCTTCTCGTTCGCGAAAAGGCTAAATAGAACGGACGATTTTATCATTTAATAACCGGACACGACACCGTGTCCGATTTAAATTTTAATGTTTTAAATTCTGACACTCCAATGCCGTGTCGGACACGTGTCCATGCCGTGTCGACACGTGTCGACACTGCATACCCTCTTTAAGAGGCGTGTCGGTGCATCATAGCTCAACTGTCATCATCTGACCGTCATCTCTTGGTTGTTGTCATTTTATTGCCATTTTCTATTGGGGAAGTAAAATCACGCAGCGAACACAAGCAATAAGAAAAAAATTTAGTGGAAAGAAACAAACACAAGGATTTAATGTGAAAAACTTGAAACCAGAAAAATCATAGAGCAACACCACACAAAGAAATCACTATAAAAATTTGGGAGAGATAGTATAGATTCTCTCTCTCTCTCATCTATCATTGTCTCTCTTCAGCCTTACAACATTCTCACACATGAACAAATAAAGAGAAACACCTTAAAACCACCAAGGGCAACACTCTTCATGAAAAATGATAAAGAAAATTGTCTAGTCCTCGGCAGTGCCGTGAAACAAGATTTGGAGCATCGCAACACTTAACTCTCTATCTTCAGTCTGCGCGATAATGCCACAATGCTCCCTAGCAGCGTCAGGGTCCAGAGCGCACAAGTGCTCCACTCTTTGTCTGCCTCCGACCAGACAATGTAACACCACAGCGCTCGGGTACACCTATTGCAATGTTGAACAGTGGTATGGATATATTAGGTGAAACACCCGAACTCATCACTCGATTGTCGTCATCCACACTCGTCTCCTAACCGTTGTTGTATGATCATCATTGACCCATCATAATCTATTCATCATTATTCGATCACCATCATCTCATTGCCATCATCAAATTATTATCATCGACCAAAATTATCTAACTATCGAATCTACACCATTCTCTCATATTTATAAAAATATAGACTTGTAATTCTATCTTCTTTGGTTGAGCAAACAACATATTTTTATAATATATCTATATAATTAATCATTTCATCTGACCAGATCTTGTGATTTATTTTTTAGTATTCATCAGAAAAACTCTGAAAACTACAAATTTTTTTTAATTTTTTGTTTATTAGATGTTCATGAAAAAAACAAAACATAGAATTTTGTTTTTTATTTTTATCGTCCTAAATTTTATAACACGCAATACACATGATGTATGCAAGCATGTATGTCAAATACCAAGTACACATACCTAAATCAATGGCGGCAACGCGGACGTAAAGGTCTTGCCCACCGTTGGCATACAAACGCATGTCTTTAAGCTCCCCCGTCCACATGATGCACCCGGTTCCGCCGTTGCTGGGATCAGCCAAAGAGTAGGCGGTGCAGGAGCAATTCGTCAAACACCTGACCCTGCACTCATCCAACCCCAATTCCCCATCCGCCACCGCCGCCGACGTATCTGGCAGCTTCACCCCGCTCACAATCAAGAATCCATCGGACGTGCCGGTACCGTTCCGGCAATCGAGCGTCGTGTTCCTAACACACCCATCGCTCACATCTTTTAGAGCCCATCGACCCCTATTCTTGGGCCGAAATCCCAAGAGGCAACTGCAGTGCGGGATCTCGTTCGCGTTGCAGATGCCGAACGAGCCACACGGAGAGAAAGAATCGCATTCGTCCATGGGATTCTGCCAGAATAAGCTCCACTGCCCTGGTGGGTCTAGCCATACAAACCGCTGAGCTGTTCCGTTCGGGTTCAA